ATGAAACCTCGGTGTCTATCTCGAGCTGGCGCATGACTCAGCATAGCTTGCACATGACTCGACAAGTCATACCAAATCACAAGCAGAACCCTTCTGCCTCAAATAAGTGCGACCAGCACAAATAAAAACAGAAATAAGGCGTCCACTCGAATAAGTGTTAGAGAAGGTTCTAAAAGCCATCAATGGAACGAAAGAACAGTGTGCAAATACCTCGGCATCCTCCGCCTATTAAGCGAGAGAGCTACCGCTACGTCATGTCGATGCTTGATATCGAGATGACGTGGTCGCATTTTCAATTAACACTACCATCGAGCGTTTTCTAGTCCACATAACTTTTTTGGGAGAGCCATTTTGCACACTCAGAACTCTGTCGATTCGTCTGCGTCTCCATTCCAAGTTCTATGGCAATTTAACTATCGCTCACTGGTAAGAGAGCTACTTTTTTATTAAGGCTTCAGGTTCAGTCTTCATGAAAACCATGACATCCTGCATTGATGCTTTTACCTTTGGCTATTTTATCACGAGATAGTCCTAGCGTAGCTGTCACAAAGCTTTTGTGCCTTACACCTACAGCGAAAAACTCGTTAATCTTTGTTCTTCCTTAATCAGATTATTACTATTGTGGAAGATAGCAGTAAAAATATTAGACTTTCTTCTCAACGGTGTCTATCAGTTGTTGGATGGGCGAAATAAGTGGAAGTAGAAGTTTATTTTGAAGTCATATAGTCATAAGGCTGCAGGTATACTCAATCATTTTGATGTTTTATTTTTTAGCGAATTCATGTCGAAGGAGGACGAGCAGTTGTTTTGGAGATTTATATCGGGAATAGCGGATGAATGCTCTGCGATGAACTGGAATCAAGGTACATAGATTAACTTGGTTGCGAATATCTCTCGGTTTCATTGTTAAAATGAAATAAATTGGATCAAGATGCTTGGGATATGATCTACTCGTGCTTCACTCTGATCCAGAGGGATGGGAGATGGAGGGACAACAAGGTGCAGTTTCGAGATTTCCATCTATATGTATTCTATTACTTGCTACGTACTCACTTTTGGTGTCTGTGTCCGTACCCATGACGAAAAGGGATGATTTTCCTTGAAATGTGCGCAAAAGCTAATGTCTCATCTTGATTCTTCACTTCGCCTTGCTTGTCTTAAGCTGAAAGGCAAACAGGCAATGTCTTTACGTTAAAGGTTTTTGGAATTGGAAGCGAAATCGGGGAGGTTGATTAGATGACACAATTTTTCAACTTTCTTCGCCTCTCACTTGCATGCATGCTTTCTTACGAACTCTAACACCGTTCTTGACAACAATCAAATGCGGTTGACAGTATAGGTGTTCTCATAAAGTTCCGCCTCTTTTCCGATTCTTTTCTACTACCAGTCGAATCGCCCGGACACCCTGACTCTCCTAGCTTTCGTGATAAGATTAGGTGCCCGACTGAGGCTTATCGTTAATTCTTTCATTCTCTTCTTGAAAAACTAGGTGTTTAGCAGCAGTCTGATATCGAGTAGTACAAAACTGCACTATAAAATCGGTTGCTATTATCGATTGCAGCTATTCCCCCACATCTCTCCAACTTCCTTGGAGTTGGAACACTGTACGACTAGAGGGAACAAAGTGCGATTGATCCGTCATTTAGGCAATAGACCAACACAAGTAGCAGTTGTCTTGGTCACAGCGTAAATCCGGGGCACATGGAATTCTGTCGCCGAGATAATGAGGCCACGTCGCAAAATGTGCAGCGCAACGCATTGCGAGGCGAGGGAATTGAAAATTTCAATGTAACAACTCCTAGCAACTGAGACTACTTCATCTTGATCGCACTCACATATGAAAAGGGATAGCAAAAATGAGGAATAAAAGCGTTTGGGCTCAATGTTGGGCATCTGCGGAGCTCCGTCACAATTTAGGAACACCGAAAAGGTATTACAATAGAATTTTTACACCCATCGGCCGAATGAGGGTGTAGCTCATTTGAGCGAAGAAAAATTCAAAACATTCGCTCAAAGTGGGCTTCAGAGACTTCAGGGGAAAAGTTCTAAATGGTACATCGGATCAAACGCTCTTCGAAATGTAAGATGAAGAGATCTCAGCGACGATGGATCCATAAGTTCGCAATGGGAACCTCGTACGTTTGTGGGGATATAGAGGTTTCAAAGTGAACCGTAGCCTCCAACTTTGTGATCTGACCCATGAGGTTCAATTATGTGGCGCTGGTAGAAAAGTCCATATAGTTCGAATGTCAAAAAAGTCGCGCTTTCTCATACATGAAAAATACGTTTTGTGTCATCACAACAGAGTGCCATCAACGTGGAGTGGAAGTGCGAGGGGTCATGAGCTTTCGGTTAGTCTATTATCGATATTGGCAACTGAAGATGTCTCATGAGGTTGTAACTATCAGTTGCAAAATAAGCTGACCGATTCGTTTACCTATGGAGATTAGCGGATAACTTGGAAGGATAAGTTATCATAGAATTAATATAGAAATCTCATTCTACGGCATTCATTTTTCCTGGATTCCGCTTCAGACCAGCAATGAAAATCCATAGGAGACAACTTCAAAGCAAGTCGTAGGTGATTCAGGGTTTGAATACAGCCGTGGTATCATATCCCACCACATCACCACGTTTGCCTCATGAAAGGGAAGGGCCTTTTGAAAGGGCGTTCACCTCAAGAAATAATTACATAATTATATGTGCACACAAATCGATGATCTGTTGTTTCACAGTATTTCTTCAACAGTGTCAGTTAACCTGCACCACCATTTCGAAAGTGTGGACAGTGAACCTAGAATGTGTGGACCGTATCACTCTCAAAGAGTGTAAGTGCAGGGAGGTACCGAAAATTCCGGAACACCAATTTGACTGTTCGCCGTAGACAGGCGTATATATTCGGTCAATATTGGCAAAAATTTTTTCATCGGATTATCAGTTGCCGGAATCCTAAATCGTGAGGTAGCTTCGTATATGCACAAAGTTGAGCCCTGAAACTCTGCAAGCGTTCAGGACGCATTTAATGAAAAAGCAAAACGAGAGCATGCATCAAGGATTCGAACTTTAATGTCATGACTACCAGTCCATCATCCTACCAGTACCAGCTATCCGTTCGGCACAGTGGTATGGCACAGGGAGGCATTGGTCCCGTGACTTTGTTCCCAGAATCGTTTAGCAGATTTGGAACAAAAATTTGGGATCAGCGTTCGAAACCACCTGTGGCGGTATACATTTCATTTTGTATGGCCACTGCGACTAGGTATCCTTCCCTTGTTAGATAGCTTGCAAAAGCGTGCTATTCGATACCAGTCGGGTCGCCCGGCTAACGCCGGGCTTCCCTCCTTCTTATGGGTTCGCCCGGCTACGTCGGGCGCTCCTCCTTCCTGTGAGAAATTTGCTATGCGTAAATAACACTTCGGATTCTCCTTTTTCTTTGAAAGTTCTACACCCTCAGTATTAGCCCCGAATCAGGGGCGATTTTTCTGTAGACCATCTTCGCTGTGTCCGAAAAGAACATTGCATAACATCACAAATGCGACTACTCAGAGAAAAATAGTATTCAGAGATTTCACCGCGGCTGAGGCTACTATGTTAGCTACCATCAATGTTCCCAGCCGACTCCTTGCGTCCCCGGGTTTCAACGGTCTGAGTCCGAATCAATAGTATTTATTCACGCCCAGCCCTTGTTGGCGGAGTTTAGCCTTGCAACCTTCCATCGATGTTCCTATCCTGCCTCCTGTATTCTTTCAAGTTTGGTCGCTCTAGGTCCATTTTGACATTTCTCTGCAAGCCCCGCCCCCTGGAGGAGTTATGAATTTCTGGCCAAACTGTGGGCGGAGTCCGGTCCTGCCACCCACCATAAGTGTTCCCATCCTACCGCCTGTGCTCCTACCAAATTTGAACGCTCTAGGTCCAAATTTAGGTTTTTCACACAAACCCCGCCCATTATGGGCGGAGTCCGGTCCTGCCACCCACCATTAGTGTTCCCATCCTGCCGTCTGTACTCCTACCAAATTTGAACGCTCTAGGTCTACTGGAACCCGAGTTATGAATTTCCAGTCAAACATTTATTTCGCACAAACCACGCCCCTTGTGGGCGGAGTCCGGTCCTGTCACCAACCATGAAAGCTCTTATCCTGCCTCCTGTGCTCATGCCAAATTTGAACGCTATATGTCCAAGTTTAAGTTTTTCACACAAACCCCGCCCCTTGTGGGCGGAGTCCGGTCCTGCCACCAACCATGAGTGCTCTTATCCTGCCTCCTGTGCTCGTGCCAAATTTGAACTT